ATACCGCGTCTATACTGTGTGTCTAAACAGACAAATAGAATGAGAAAATCAGATAAAATATTTCAACTGATATATAAGACGAATATCTATTAAGAATGATTTTTTATTTTTTTTGCTTGCTATTGTTATTCTGAGTGGTTACTTACCAGCCAAAAGAGCCCATCCTCAAGTCTCTATGTACGTTTACAAGACAATGACATACTAAAAATGGAGAAGTTTCGTGTGCAGTTGACAACGTTGTCAAAACAATCCCCGTTCACACGGATCTGCAAAAATGACTGCGTATTATGCATGCCACTCTGTAAAGAAACACTACGCACCTGCACGCATACCTAAAGACTGAATGCGACGTCACCATTTTCACAAATTTACGTTTTTGTAGTTTACACAGACAACGTATAGTTTTCATAAACTCGACTTTGAAACCTGTTCAAGAGTTTTCAGGCACCCAAAACGCAGTTGTCATGTAAATAAATGGCCAAAACGCGTAAAACGTTTTCCTTTTAGTTTAAAACGGTGTCGTTTAAACGCCCCTATCATATTCTAGTCTCCAGATACGGCTCCTGTCCGTCATTCAGTGTGAAGGCCTGTTCAATTCTTAAATATAAGGATAACTATAAAGTTTTAATAATAGTTCTAATATTATAAGAATATTAGTTCACTCCACGACTTTAGCGTTAACGAAACAGAGGAACGATATTGGTGAAATCATAATTAAAACTTTTTTTTTTTCTTCTCTATATGATGTATAAAAACAATACACACTAAAAAATGCTGGGTTATTTCAACCCAACTTTGGGTTAAATTTGGACTAACCCAACTTTTGGGTTAAAAATTGAATGTCAAAATTGAACCCAGTGGTTGGGTTAGTCCATATTTGACCCAAAGTTGGGTTGAAACAACCCAGTATTTTTTAGAGTGTACTTTTTGGAATATAATTTGCATATTTTTTATTATATTAAACGAGGAACGATATTGGTGAAATCATAATTAAAACTGTTTTTTTTTTTTCTTCTCTATATGATGTATAAAAACAATACACACTAAAAAATGCTGGGTTATTTCAACCCAACTTTGGGTCAAATTTGGACTAACCCAACTTTTGGGTTAAAAATTTAAAGTAAAAATTTAACCCAACGGTTGGGTTAGTCCATATTTGACCCAAAGTTGGGTTGAAACAACCCAGCATTTTTTAGACTGTAGCTTGTGCAAAGCGTCAGACGACAAAACAACAGCACGCACTTATAATAAACAACATTCTCGCCGGATGGTGCAGGCGCTAATTTAGTTATCGTTCCTGGTGTGAACGGGGTGGGATTTTTCAACTGATTCATCATCTGCCTGGTGAAAATCACAAGTTCACCCAAGCATAGCACATCTCTTCTCAACAAACAACAGAGTTTGAGGCCTCATTCATGTCTGTAGCACAAAAAGTGCGGGAAAACTTTGGGTTAGAACTTCGGTCTGATCCCTACCCTAATTATGAGCAATATTAATAGTGATACTCGCCTTAAAACCACTTTTACGCCATTATACCTCCAACGCTGCCATCTGCATTCAGCTGGCCATTAGGTAGTAAATAGCTGTTTATTGTGGCAGTTTCATAAATTAATAGAAAATGATATTCTCTTTCACACTCACAGACACCTTCTCAGCACTGTCATGGGGCTTCTGAGCTGTCAAAAACGTTCTTTCCGCCCCAATACGGTCTGTGGCGAGATGTAATTGAAGTGTGAATTTATAATCCAGCGCGTAAGAGAAACAGCCGGAGCCTTATCCATTAAGCATCCGCAGGTAGCGTGAATCATAAACGGCCTTATTTTTGTCTAATCCCCACTGATAGGACTGATTGCGTTTTTGGTCATTATCTAGAAAAAATTGCGCGACAAACATCTGAGTGTGTAAAATAAACACAGACCACCACCAGTGTTGTAAGGAAACAGCGGTCATCCTGTTGTAAATATGATCACATTAGCGAATGACACCCATTAGGCAGTTTTTGAACACATTGCAGTCATTTTTTATTCCTCGGGGCGGCCGCTGGTGTCCGCAAAACTTGATGCTTCACCAACCGTGTGCTGGATGTCATTAGAAACTCATTTAGGGAGAACTGGCCTCCAAATTTCCATGTTTGTGTGTGCGTGTGAGAGATAATGTGCTTAGCGCAGCACATTTCGCCTGTTTTTTGGTTAACTAATGAGGTCTCTGCACGGGAGTTTAAGGAAGATTAATGGTTTACGCAGGGAACGAGGTATTGGAAGAACAAATTACATACGAGTCTTCTTTCCCCTCCCAAAAAACCTTCATCCCAAACACCAGAGGCTGCACACCTGCCGTTCCTGTCTTCCCAAAGCCCAACGTCCATTCTTTTGAATGCTTTTTGTTCCTGACCCTTTCCTCGATTGCTTGTTTTGCGCCTGTAGGGACGCTCTCTGCAGTGATTACTGTAATTAATTGGATGGAGGGGAATATTCTCCTGTCGTGCTGTTCCTGGATCAGTTAATATAGCAGAATATAAATACCAATATATAACGATAATATTTATATTTTAATGAGCTATATAGATTTATGTATAGATTATTTTAATATATATTTGGATAAATTATAAACAAAACCATATTCTTTGTTATATAAATGAAATAAGCGAGCAATTTATATATATATATATA